GAAGAAAAGACAGAATGAGGCAGAGGCAACATTTGGAAAAAAAAAAAACCTAAGAATTATTGGAACTAATGAAGGACATCAACCCACAGATTCATGAAGCCTAACAAATCCCAAGCAGTATAAATTTTTTAAAATTCATTCCTAGATATGTTATGAAGACACTTCAGAAACCAAAGAGAACAATTTTAAAGCATTCAAAGGAAAAATAGATTCCTTTCAAAAGACTTATTTACAGGAGCTAGAAGAGAATGGAATGATATCTTCAGTAGGCTGAAGGAAAATAACCGCCATTGTAGAACCCTACTTATCACAAAACTATCCTTCCGGAACAAAGGCAATTACAATTAGGAGTTGGGGGTAAAAGGCAACATAAAGACATTTTAGACAAACTGAGCAAGAAGACTTGAACCACCAGCAAACATGCATTAAAGGAAAATCTAACAGGCATTATTTCAGGAGAATGAAAATGATTCCAAATGAAAATCAGAGGTGCACGATGGAATAAAGAGCAAGTAATTGCTATATATGTGAGTAATTTTAAATAAGTATTCAGTATACAAAACAAAAATAGGCGGGGTGCAGTGGCTCATGCCTGTAATCCCAGCACTTTGGGATGTCATGGCAGAAGGATTACTTGAGGTCAGGAGTTCAAGACCAGACTGGCCAACATGGTGAAACTCCGTCTCTACTAAAAATACAAAAGTTAGCTGGGCATGGTGGCGTGCGCCTATAATTCCAGCTATCTGGGAAGCTGAGGCACAAGAATTGCTGGAACCCAGGCGGTGGAGGTTGCAATGAGCCCAGAATGCACTACTGCATTCCAGCCTGGGTAACAAAGTGAAGCTCCATCTCAAAAAAACAGAAACAAAATAATAATGTCACATGGAATCTTAAAAATACAGAATTAAAATATAAAGGGAGACAATTATTTCAATGTCATAATGAAGATTAGAGGTTAGAGGATTTCAGACTTACAACAACAAAGTTATTTTATGCATGTATGTATGTATGCATGTATGTTACTTATTTATTTGAGATGGAGCCTCACTCTGTTGCCCAGGCTGGAGTGCAGTGGCACAATCTTGGCTCACTGCAACCTCTGCCTCCCAGGTTCAAGCAATTCTCCTGCCTCAGCCTGCTGAGTAGCTGGGATTATAGGTGCGTGCCATCACAGCAGGCTAATTTTTAAATTTTGGGTAGAGATGGGGTTTCACCATTTTGGCCAGGCTGGTCTCAAACTCCCAACCTCAAGTGATATGCCTGCCTCAGCCTCCCAAAGTGCTGGGATTACAGGCATGAGTCACCGTGCCCAACCAAAGTGGAGTTATTTAAAATGCAGTTTTTTTGTTTTGTTTTGTTTCGCTTTTGTGAAACAGGATCTCTCTCTTCTGCCCAGGCTGGTCTCCAACTCCCGACCTCAAATGATCTGCCTGCCTCAGCCTCCCAAAGTGCTGGGATTACAGGCATGAGCCACCGTGCCCAGCCAAAGTTGAGTTATTTAAAATGTAATTGTTTTGTTTTGTTTTGTTTTGCTTTTGTGAAACAGGCTCTCTCTGTGCTGCCCAGGCTGGAGTGCAATGGCGTGTTCGATCATGGTTCACTGCAGCCTAGATTTCCCAGGCTCAAATGATCTTCCCACCTCAGCCTCTGGAGTAGCTGGGACTACAAACTCACGCCACAACACCCAGCTAATTTTTGTGTAATTTTCTTTTTTTTTCTTTCTTTTCTTTTCTTTTTTTTTTTTTTTGAGACCGAGTTTCTCTCCTGTCACCCAGGCTGGAATACAGTGGCACAATCTTAGCTCACTGCAACCTCCGCCTCGCGGGTTCAAGCAATTCTCCTGCCTCAGCCTCCCAAGTAGCTGGGATTACAGGTGTGTGCCACCACGCCCAGCTAATTTTTGTATTTTTAGTAGAGGCAGGGTTTCACCATGTTGGCCAGGATGGTCTCGATCTTCTGACCTCGTGATCCACCCACCTCGGCCTCCCAAAGTGCTGGGATTACAGGTGTGAGCCACCACGCCCGACCACGTCATTTTTTAGAGATAAGGTCTTGGTAGGTATGTTGCCCAGGCTGGTCTTGAATTCCTGGGCTCAAGCCATCCTCCTGCCGTGGCCTCCCAAATTGCTGGGATTACAGGTGTAAGCCACCATGCCCAGCATTCTTCTTCTTTTCTTTTTTAAGAGTAGAAGTGTTTTTGTAGCTGTAAGGGTAGAATAGCTAAAAATCAAGGAGAAAATTCAATGTTTGATTACATTAAGCATATTTCCAGAAGTATGGGACATGTCTTTAGCTTGTCCTAGACTTGCTATATACACTTTTTTCAACTTTAATATCTATTATTAGGAAAATAGGGGATAAAAGACACATAAGACTAAAAAAAGAAATTCAGATCAGAATGAGAGAAGACCTGGAAGATAATGTGAGAAGGTCTAGTATATATTTAACACAAGTCTTGGAAGAAGAAAAGATAATGAGACCCTGTTCACAACCACTAATAATAAACAAAAGAATAAAATACCAATTAAGCAGCCCACCCCAACAGACAAAGTGATTTGACTGTGGGTACCCTTGGTGAGCTCACACTCCCTTCTTTTGTCTAGATACTAATTCTTCACTCAGTTTGCATTGCAACTCATCTCCTCTATCTAATTAATGAGATTATATTAATTTCTGTTCAGAAACTTGTGTTATGTAAGAGTCAGTGTTTAGTGACACAAAAAAGTAGTAGAGAATCAAGGAACATCCAGGGTCTTTGGAAACTGCGGACACATCAGATATCAGTGGCATTTCTGAGGCTGCTACCTGCTTATTCCTGGAAGTCTCTGCGGGGTTGCCGGCCAGAGGTATCATTTTCTCTCTGACCTCCTGTCTCTCCCGGAGCTTTTGTTCCATGTTGATCACATTACTGGGGTGTTCTATTTTAAGGCTAACCTTAAATGACTTGAATTCTTTTGCAAAAGAATTCAAGAGTTGAACAATTGGTTTCCTTCCAGCAGGACTTCTGATTTATCTGTTCCATCAATGGAGTGGACTGTCAAAAGGATGGCCACAGCGTATGGTGGGAAAGTGGACACGACACCTCTGTTTTCAGGACAGGCAGCTATGTCCCAGCTTGTGCATGGCAAATCCTTGTGCCCCCAAAATCTGCACCTAGAGTAGTTTAACTTTTTATTATTATCATTATTATGATTACTTTTAGCTATGGGGGTCTCACTATGCTGCCCAGGCAGGTCTCGAACTCCTGGTGTAAAGCAATCCTCCTGCCTTGACCTCTCAAAGTGCTAAGATTACAGGTGTGAGACACCATGCCTGGCCCATGGTGTAGTTTTGTTTTGGTTTTTTTGTTTTGTTTTGTTTTGTTTTTTTGAGACAGATTCTCACGTTGTAGCCCAGGCTGGAGTACAGTGGAGCAATCTCAGCTCACCGTAGCCTCAGTCTCCTGGGCTCAGATGATCCTCCCACCTCAGCCTTCCAAGTAGCTGGAAGTATAGGTATGAGCCACCACATCCAGATAACTTTTGTATTTTTTTTTTGTGGAGATGGGTTTTCACCATGTAACCCAGTCTGGTCTCAAACTCCTGGGCTCAAGCCTTCTGCCCACCTCAGTCTCCCAAAGTGGTAGGATTATAGGCATGAGCCACTGTCATGGTGTAGTTTCAAATGGCTGCACATTTTCAATTTACTGAGTGGAGGCCAGGCAAAATACTATCTGACTTGGAGTAACTGTCATCAAGAAAGGAGTGAGCTATTCTTGCAGCTCAGCCACGTGAGGGACGCAGTCTCCAACTCCCAATCCCCCTTGAGCTTCCCTCAGCAGCCTTAGGATATCTGGCTTCACAATCTCTTTATCGCTTCATCTTTTCTCCACTGTTCTCTAAGCACTCTATGGATTGGATGCCATCCACTTGCACACAGCCTTCTAACATCCATGCCACCTCTGTTTTTCTAGGCACACATGTTAGCACCTAGGCTTAGGAATCCCCGTGAAACTGCAGTCTGAAAAGAGGGGGTAAAGAGATTTGCTCAGCAACATTTCCTGCATTGTTCCCTTTTCCCACATAAGTACTTCAAAATTTTTCTAGTGGGGAAAATATTTAGTCCCAAACTCTTTGGTCAAGGTAAAATCTATTATTTTTTTTTTTTTAAGAACAATAGTTCGAAGGCTGGGCGCAGTGGCTCACGCCTGTAATCCCAGCACTTCGGGAGGCTGAGGCAGGCGGATCACCTGAGGTCAGGAGTTCAAGACCAGCCTGGCCAACATGGTGAAATCCTATCTCTACTAAAAATACAAAAATTAGCTGGGCTTGGTGACTTACACCTGTAGTCCCAGCTACTCAGGAGGCTGAGGCACGAGAATAGCTAGAACCTAGGGGACGGAGGTTGCAGTGAGCTGAGATCACGCCAATGCACCCCAGTCTGGAAACAGAGACTCGGTCTCAAAAACAAAACAAAACAAAATCGGTAAATTGATTCAGCTGGGCACAGCGGCTCATGTCTATAATCCCAGCACTTTGGGAGGCTGAGGCAGGAGAATCACTTGAGCCCAGGAGCTGGAGACCAGCCTGGGCAACATAGTGAGACCCCATCTTTACAAAGCATAGTGATAATAAATTAGCCAGGTGTGGTGGTGCATACTTGTCGTCCTAACTACTTGGGAGGCTGAGGTAGGATAATCATTTGAGCCCAAGAGTTCAAGGATGCAGTGAGCTATGATCATGCCACTATACTCCAGCCTGGGTGACAGAGAGAGAACCTGTCTTTAAAAATAGATTGAAAAAAATTAATTGATTCAAACATATTTTGACTAAAATGTGCCCAAATCATGATTTTGCAATAAATGCTATGCAACCAACCATACATGATATTGGTAATATAATCTAGTATTTGCTATTGTATAATACGATATGTAATAGATCATATAAAGTTATTGTGGGAGATTCAGAGTCCATGGATTATAAACCAACAATAAAAGAGCCAAGACTGAGGGATGACAAGATGCCAAGGAGTAAAAAGTCAATAATGTTTCAATTTCTTAAACCTTCACATGTTTTAGGCTTCTTGGGATGGTTCAACTGCAGAGATAGATTAACCCATGAGTAATGTACTAGCATGGACCATTCTTCCGGCTTTCCAGTAGGGATGCAGCCAACAACTGTAACATCACCTGTGTCACTGATAAGGTAACTGATAGAGATTGGGCAGAACACCTACGGTTTTATCCCGTAAGTAAAGGATTCAAACCAAGTGGCATCCAATACTCAGAGGGATGTGCCAGGTATGCCTTCTGTGAATTGGTAGCCTTGCAGTATTCTGAATGTGACCCTTCTTTTTCTCATATTCTAATGCTAATGTAACTCTTGGTTTCTCAGGGTTCTGTTCTCCAAAGACTTAAGTGTCTGAACATAAACCTCACAAGGTAAAGAATTTTACTGGGTATGGTGGCTCATGCCTGTCATCGCAGCACTTTTGGAGGCTGAGGCAGGAGGACTGTTTGACACTAGGAGTTCAAGACCAGTCTGGTGGCAACATAAAGAGAATCCCATCTCTACAAAAAGAAAACAAAAATAACTGGGTCCAGGAATTCAAGGCTGAAGTGAGCTATGATCAGGTCACTACACTCCAGCCTGGGCGACAGAGTGAGACTGTCTCCTAAAAAACAAACCAACGTGGTGGCTCACACCTGTAATCCCAGCACTGTGGGAGGCCAAGGCAGGAAAATCACTTGAACCCAGGAGTTCAAGACCAGACTGGCCAACATGGTGAAACCTGGTCTCTCCAAAAAATACAGAAAAACAAACAAAACAACAAACAAAAAAACCCAGCTTAGCCATGTGTTGTGCCACACACCTATGGTCCCAGGGAGGCTGAGATGGGAGGAGTACTTGAGCCTGGGAGGAAGTTGAGGCTGCAGCAAACCATGTTCACACCACTGCACTCCAGGCTTGGTGGAAAGAGTTAGACTCTGTCTCAAAAAAAAAAAAAAAAAATGCTTCACAAAACTCTTAGGGGTAGAAAGACTAGCAAAATCAGCCTTGCCTCTCCTGTGAGTTTTTGTCCTAGTGAAATCAGAAATCATATTTAAAATTATGACAATATCGGTCAGGTGCGGTGGCTCACGCCTGTAATTCCAGCACTTTGGGAGGCCAAGGCTGGCGGATCACCTGAGGTCAGGAGTTCGAGATCATCCTGGCCAAATGGAGAAACCCCATCTCTACTAAAAATACAAAAAATTAGCCCGGAGTGATGGTGGGAACTTGTAATCCTAACAACTTGGGAGGCTGAGGCAGGAGAATCACTTGAACCTGGGAGGCGGAGGTTGCAGTGAGCTGAGATCATGCCATTGCACTCCAGCCTGGGCAACAAGAGCAAAATTCCGTCTCAAAAAAATAAATAAATAAAACAAAATAAAATTATGACAATATCAACCCTGAAGTGTGAAAAACAGTAACAAACAAAGAAACAAACAAAATGGGAACACAGACAGACCACCTATTTCTTTTCCTTCTTCGGTAGTGCAGGCAGTTTGTGGGCTAAAAGCCATATTCTAGGAAAGCTACATCTAGTAGAGCCACATTCTAGGAAAATTGCCTGGGTCCTGGATCTGGTCCTGATGTACTACCCTAAGCACATTATGTATTGATAAAGGACGTGCATGTACATACTTTTTAAGCCAGTTTTTTGTTACTATATCCTGCCGCTGAATTTGAACTTAGAAAAATAATGGAAATCCAGCCTCTCCCATCTGACCCATGAGTCTGTGTGTGCTGCCCAAGGATACCCAGGGCGCTCCCACAAGCGCCCGCAGCCTGAGTCACCGCATCCCCATCCCCACCAGATCAGGGTCTACACTCTTCCTTCAAATCAGGACTTGAAAATAGGCACCTTTTGGCCAGGCGCGGTGGCTCAAGCCTGTAATCCCAGCACTTTGGGAGGCCGAGACGGGCGGATCACAAGGTCAGGAGATCGAGACCATCCTGGCTAACACGGTGAAACCCCGTCTCTATTAAGAAATACAAAAAACTAGCCGGGCGAGGTGGCGGGCGCCTGTAGTCCCAGCTACTTGGGAGGCTGAGGCAAGAGAATGGCGTGAACCCGGGAGGTGGAGCTTGCAGTGAGCTGAGATCCGGCCACTGCACTCCAGCCTGGGTGACAGAGCGAGACTCCGTCTCAAAAAAAAAAAAAAAAAAAAAAAAGAAAATAGGCACCTTTTAGCTTTATTACATGCTGGGTCAACAGTCTCCCTTAGGTACAATGAGCCACAAAGCCAGCTAAAAGAAGTGACTGGGTTTGATAGCAGGTGAAAAAGAAAAGGGAATTTTTTTTTTTTTTTAAAAGACAAGAAGTGACTGGGAGTGGTTACAGAACATGAGCTCTGCAGCAGACCTGGGTTCAAAACCTTCCTCTATCACTTAGTAGCCATGGGACACTGGACAACTTACTTGATTGCTCAAATATGCTAATTTGAATTTCCCTAGAAGCAGATCCTGAGGCAAGGATTCATCTGTGAGTAGTTTATTTAGCCGATGATCCAGAAAACATTACTAGGGGAGTAGAGAAAATGAGATCAGAACGGGAAGGAAGACAACAGAGGAGAGGGCATATTGCCAAGCGAGTCACCACCGTAGACCACTGGAGCACTCTATTATTTTGTGTTTTTGTTTGTTTGTTTGTTTAATAGAGATGGGAGCCTCACCATGTTGCCCAGGCTGGTCCCGAACTCCTGGGCTTAAGCGATCCTCCCGCTTCAGCCTCCCAAAGTGTTGGGGTTACAGGCATGAGCCACTGCTCCCAGCCTCCACTGGGGAACTCTAGAAGACTATGTATAACACACACCTAGGAGTTTTCTCAGCAAATAGTGGGGGGAGTTGGGTCCTTATCAGCCATCAATTAACAGCTGTTTGGGGCAGAGAGGAGGACTAATTCCTTGGCACTTCTGATCTGCCTCCCAGGAGCAAGTGAAGCTCTGGTAGCCAGAGAAGGCCCTCAGGCAAATAGTTTTACATGTGGGCAGTTGAAAATATGGCCAGGGAGCCCAGAAATACTAAGGGCAAGGATAACAGCGCGGTCTGCATCTGCTACACCCAGTGCATTTTCTGTCATTTCTAAACCCCCTCAGTCAATGGAAGCTGCTATCATTTCAGCCAAAATAGAGCAGAAATGTTCTTCTTCCTCCTCCTCCTCCTCCTCCTTTCTTCTTTTTCTTCTTCTTGTTTTGTTTTTGAGACAGGGTCTGTGTCACCCAGGCTGGAGTGCAGTGGCACAATCTCAGTTCACTGCAGCCGCGACTTCCTGGGCTCAAGTGATTCTCCCACTCCAGCCGCCGGAGTAGCTGGGACCACAGGTGCGCGCCACCATGTCCAGCTAATGTTTATATATTTTGTGAGACGAGATCTCGCCATGTTGCCCAGGCTAGTCTTGAACTCCTGGACTCAAGCAATCTGCCCGCCTCAGCCTCCCAAAGTGTTGGGATTACAGACGTGAGCCACTGTGCCCAGCCCAGAGCAGGGAAATTGAAAGAAGATGTGGTAAACTGAGTTATGTCCTCATTCCCAAACAAGACCACATCCTAATCCTTAGAATCTGTGGGCATGGCCGGGCGCGGTGGCTCAAGCCTGTAATCCCAGCACTTTGGGAGGCCGAGGCGGGCGGATCACAAGGTCAGGAGACCGAGACCACAGTGAAACCCCGTCTCTACTAAAAATACAAAAAATTAGCCGGGCGCGGTGGCGGGCGCCTGTAGTCCCAGCTACTCAGGAGGCTGAGGCAGGAGAATGGTGGGAACCCGGGAGGCGGAGCTTGCAGTGAGCCGAGATCGCGCCACTGCACTCCAGCCTGGGCAACAGCGTGAGACTCCGTCTCAAAAAAAAAAAAAAAAAAAAAAAAAAAAAAAAAAAAAAGAATCTATGGGCATTACATTACCAGGACAAAAATGACTTCCGATGTGATCAAATTAAAGATTTGAGATGGGAAGATTATTCTGAATTATCCAGGTGGGTACAATGTCATCACATAGGTCCTTATGAAAGCCAAAAGTCGGGTGTGGTGGCTCATGCCTGTAATCTCAGCACTTTGGGAAGCCGAGGCAGGCGGATCACGAGGTCAGGAGATCGAGACCATCCTGGCTAACACGGTGAAACCCCATCTCTACTAAAAATACAAAAAATTAGCCGGACGTGGTGACGGGCGCCTGTAGTCCCAGCTACTCATGAGGCTGAGGCAGGAGAATGGCGTGAACCCAGGAGGCGGAGCTTGCAGTGAGCCAAGATTGATGCCACTGCACTCCAGCCTGGGTGACAGAGTGATATTCCATCTCAAAAAAAAAAAAAAAAGAGCCAAGCAGGAAAGTCAGAGTCAGAACAGGTGGCCTCTAAATACTGCAAAAGGCAAGGAAACAGATTTTCCACTACATCCTCCAGTATGTAGTCCTGCTGACTCATTTGAAACATCTGACCTCCAGAATATAAGATAAATTTGTGGGTTTTTTTCTGTGTGTGTGTGTGTGTTTGTGTGTGTGTGTGTGTGTGAGAAAGAGATGGAGTCTCACTCTGTCGCCCCGCCTGGAGTGCAGTGGCACGATCTCGACTCACTGCAACTTCCACCTCCCGGGTTCAAGCAATTCTCCTGCCTCAGCCTCCCAAGTAGCTGGAATTACAGGCAGGCATCACTATGCCCAGTTAATCTTTGTATTTTTAGTAGAGACAAGGTTTCACCATGTTGGCCAGGATGGTCTTGATCTCTTGACCTTGTGATCTGCCTGCCTCGGCCTCCCAAAGTGCTGGGATTACAGGCATGAGCCACCGCACCTAGCCAAATTTGTGTTAAGTCACTAATCTTGTGGTAATTTGTCACAGCAGCAATAGGAAACTAATACAGAAGAGTGGTCAGGAATAAGAATTGCTGCCACATAATAGTATTTCCTATGAGCCAGCACTAAGCACTTTAAGACTCTTAGGTCAGGCATGGTCTCACATGTGTAATCCCAGCACTTTGGGAGGTTGAGGTGGGAAGATCACTTGAGCCACGGAGTTTGGGACCAGCCTGGAGAACATAGTGAGACCCCATTGCATTAAAAAAAAAAATACAAAAATTAGCAGGGCATGGTGGTGTGCACCTGTAATCCCAGCTACTTGGGAGGTTGAGGTGGGAGGATCCCTCGATAACAGGAGTTTGAATCTGCAATAAGTCGTGATTGCACCACTACACTCCAGCCTGAGCAACAGAGCAAGACCCTATCTTAAAAAAAAAAAAAAGTAAAAGAAAAAGAAAGCATCTTAATTGCTTTAATTCTTACACCGACTATAGTTACATTTGCTACGTGGCCTTGAACTCATCTTGCCATTTTGAATGTCCATTTATAGTCCTCTGTGCTATAGCTAAAAGCTTTTAATTAATTTTATTATTGCAGTTTCACTAAGCAAACAAACAGTTCTCCTGTGGAAAAACATCTGATGCCAAAAGCTTCCCTTCATGCCAATACAAGAGTGAAGGCTGATGCAGTTTCACTTGAAGCAGGTTGAATAAAAACTGGACTCGGCCCCTTTAAGTCCGGCTGATGACAAACGGCTACTTTTTATCTTTTGCTGTTGCTCTGGCTCAGTACAGCCATTTAATTATTCATAGGAAGGTTCTTTGGTATTTTCACTGTAGAAGTCACATCTAAGACTTAAATCTTACTTCCACCAACTCCAGTGATGAAGTTTCCAGACTAATGAAAAGGTCAGTGCTGTGACATTTCTGGAACCCATTCTCAGCTTCGCAGGGAAAGCTAGACTTGGGTTTTCCATTATTGGAGCATAAAGTTCTTCACTCACCAAAACTGCATCAGCAGGAAAATCCACCAGACACTTTAAGCTAGTGATTACACTGATGTGAATATAAACTTACCACAAATATAACAATGAAAGTTTTTGTATGCTGGGGAAAATCTTGGAGTGTGGAGAAAGCATCTCAATTACCTTGCAGGTCAGTGTGCAATTATATTAGGCTTTCTCCCCTTTCTCTCCCTCTTCATTTCCCGTTTCTTTCTAAATAGCACTAGATACAAAGGGGAAAGGCAAATGGGGTTATTACTTTGTTTAAAAGGGAAAGGATGGTTACTTCTTTTCTTTTTTTTAAATCGTTGTTAGGATTTTTTTTTTTTTTTTTTTGGTAGAGACAGGAGTCTTGTTATGTTACCCAGGCTGATCTCAAACTCCTGACCTCAAGTGATCCTCCCACCTGGGCCTCCCAAAGTACTGGGATTACAGGTGTGTGCCACTGCATCCAGCCTTTTTTAAAAAAATAATTTTAATCACGGCTGTAATCCTAGGACTTTAGGAGGTCCAGGTGGGTGGATCACCTGAGGTCAAGAGTTCGAGACCAGCCTGATCAACATGGAGAAATCCTGTCTCTACTGAAAATACAAAATTAGCCAGGTGTGATGGCACATGCCTGTAATCCCAGCTACTCTGGAGGCTGAGGCAGGAGAGTCACTTGAATCTGGGAGGCGGAAGTTGTGGTGAGCCAAGATCGCACCATTGCACTCCAGCTTGGGCAACAAGAGCAAAACTCCATCTCAAAAAAAAAAAAATTAAAATTAAAACAGAGACAGGGTCTTGCTATGTTGCCCAGGTTGGTCTCAAACTCCTACCTCGATCTCCCAGAGTGATGGGATTGCAGGTGTAAGCCCCTGCCCTCAGCCAATGGTGACTAATTAACCAGAAAGGCATTTACTCAAGACTTTTAGATAGAGATCATCAACACTGTAAAGAGGGAATTAAAAGTTTATTTGATTTTTATCCTCCTTGGGTCTTGTAGAAGATTCAGGCTCTTGATGTTTCTGAACTGTTGCATCAGCTACCTGTTTGTTTATGTCTTCCTTTTTAGGCTATAAATTCCTCAGGGCAGGTCCTCAGCCTTATTTATCTTTGTTTTTCCAAATTCCAGAACATTCTGAACACATAGAAGATATTTGTGCTTATTGAACGGCATGACAAGTTGACTGTATACATTATTAATACATGAATAAATAAAGTTCATAGCTTTTCACTGTTGAATGATTCCAGGTATAACCGCAGGTTCAGTGCAGAGCCTGAGCAAGCTCAGTGATCACTTGCTGAATATAAATAAAGGTAGCCGGGTGCATCGAGACCAGCCTGGCCAACATGGTGAAACCCCTTCTCTACTAAAATACAAAAAATTAGCCAGGCATGGTGAGGCACGCTTGTAGTCCCAGGTACTGGGAGGGTGAGGCACGAGAATTGCTTGAACCTGGGAGGCAGAGATTGCAGTGAGCCGAGATTGTGCCACTGTACTCCAGCCTGGGCAACAGAGTGAGATTCTGCCAAAAAAAAAAAAAAAAAAAAAAAAATATATATATATATATATATATATAAAGGTAAAACTGTAAACTGGCGCCAGCCCACCTGAGCCTTCTTTAGGACTCTCGCATAGCCAGCCCTGTTTTTGGTGACTTCGTCCATCATATGCCTAGTCATTATCATGCAATTTGACAGTATGCTTGCACTCCAACAGAGATGCCGAAGAAACATAACGATCCTCACACCTTTGTGCAGCTCACAACCTGCACAAAATAGCTGCACTCTAACAACCAAACGGCATTGCATTTGTGTCCACTTCATGGCATTCCCGCCTCCACAGTAAAATAACACTCAGTACAGGTAAAATACTCTCTAAAATACTCTTTTTTTTCTTTTCTCAAGACAGAGGCTTGCTTTGTCACCCAGGCTGGAGTGCAGTGGCACGATTTCGGCTCACTGCAACCTCTGTCTCCTGGGTTCAAGCAATTCTCCTGCCTCAACCTCCTGAGTAGCTGGGATTACAGGCACACACCACCACACCTGGCTAATTTTTGTATTTTTAGTAGAGACAAGGTTTTACCATGTCGGCCAGGCTGGTCTCGAACACCTGACTTCGTGATCCGCCCACCTTGGCCTCCCAAAGTACTGAGATTACAGGTGTGAGCCAGCCTAAAATACTCTTACAGGCAGGGCACAGTGGCTCATGCCTATAATCCCAGCATGTTGAGAGGCTGAGGCAGGAGGATCGCTTGAGCCCAGGAGTTCAAGACCAGCCTGAGCAGCATAGTGAGACCTGTTCTCTACGAAAAATACAAAATTAGCCAGGCATGGTTGCAAGCACCCTGTATACCCAGCTACTCAAGAGACTGAGATGGGAGGATCGCTTGAGCCTGGGAGGTTGAGGCTGCAGTGAGCCGTGATTGTGCCACTGCACTGCAGCCTGGGTGACAGAAATGAGATCCTGTCTCAAAAATAATACTTTTATAAATAAATAAAATACTCTAAGAATAAGGGACACAGGCATAACAAATCAGCAAAATAAAATTCCGGTTAATTGTTGAACATTGTTTCACACATACATCAAACAAGTGAAAACATTTATAAACAAACAGCAACTTTATAGACAAAAAAAGAGGAAAAAAAAAGAGAAACCCAGCCAGATATGGCAGTTCACACCTGTAATCCCACCACTTAGGGAGGCCAAGGCAGGAGAATCACTTGAGCTTAGGTGTTTGAGATCACCTTGAACAACATAGTGAGACCCCCTGTCTCTACAAAAATTTTAAAAATTAGTTGGGCATAATGGTGTGCACCTGTGGTCCCAGGTACTGGGGAGGCTAAGAAGGGAGAATTGCTTGAGCCAGGAAGGTCAAGGTTACAATGAGCAGTGATTGCACCACTGCACCACTCCAGCGAGGCCCTGTCTCCAAAAACAGAGAGAGAGAGAGAGAGAGAAATCTTTTGTATTTGACCTATTTAACCACTTCATACAAACCAACTACTCATAGTACAGCTTAATACATACACAAAAAAAAACTTAATAGATGCTCAGAATAAGAGTCGTCCTCTTGCTTTTCTTCTCTTTTCTTTTTCTTTTCTTTTTTTTTTTTTGAGATGGAGTCCTGCTCTGTTGCCCAGGCTGGAGCGCAGTGGCACAATTTCAGCTCACTGCAACCTCCGCCTCCCAGGTTCAAGCGATTCTCCTGCCTCAGCCTCCCGAGTAGCTGGGATTACAGGCACGCGCCACTACACCCGGTTAATTTTTGTATTTTTAGTAGAGGCAGGGTTTCACCATGTTGGCCAGGATGGTCTCGATCTCCTGACCTCGTGATCCGCCTGCCTTGGCCTCCCAAAGTGCTGGGATTACAGGCGTGAGCCACCGCGTCCGGCCTGCTTTTCTTTTTATAAGATTCTTTTTCCTTTGAGATTTTAATGAAAATGGTCATGGCACAAGTAAAGTTGGAAGTAGGACAGAGAGTGCTCTGAAGGCTGATTTGCTCTTCCAAGATCATTAAGTGTGACTGACGCCTAACAATATGTACAAAAATATAAAAGGTAAATTTAAAATGAAAAAAAAAAAAACAACTCCCTTTTTTCTTTTTTTTTTTTGAGACGGAATTTTGCTCTTGTTGCCCAGGCTGGAGCGCAATGGCACGATCTCGGCTTACTGCAACCTGCATCTCCTGGGTTCAAGCAATTATCTTGCCTCAGCCTCCCTAGTAGCTGGGATTACAGGCACATGCCACCACGCCCAGCTAATTTTTTGTATTTTTAGTAGAGACAGGGTTTCACCACGTTGGCTAGGCTGTTCTTGAACTCCTGACCTCAGGTGATACACCTGCCTTAGCCTCCCAAAGTGCTGAGATTAGAAAGGCATGAGCCACCATGCCCGGCCAAAAATCTCCTTTAAAAGTACTTTTAAGAAAAAAAACAGGGCCTTGGGATTTTCATTCTTTTTTCTTGTCCTGTTTTAAAGTCAGGCGGCAGTTTTGGTGGGTGGTGGAAAATCTATGCCATCTGCTGGTGGTGCTCCCCCCGGAGAATGGACAGTCTCTCTGCTCCAAGGTGACCAACTGAGATTCTGAGGGAGGTGAAGAGAATGGCCCCATGCTGCACGGGGTCAGGCAGTGGGGCAGGGGATTGCTGTATGACCTAGAGAGGGGATAAAAGTCTTCTTGAGACTTCGTGCCTGCTACCTGATCCTCATCTACTACATAGATTAAATGATGTCCCCATCAGCTGACAGAGAACACTTGACACCCATCAAAAGTCATCAGGCATTTGCGGGGTTTTTTGTTGTTGTTGTTTATTTTTTGAGGCCAAGTCTCATTCTGTCGCCCAGGCTAGAGTGCAGTGGTGCGATCTCAGCTCACTGCAACCTCTGCCTCCTGGGTTCAGGTGATTCTCAGGCCTCAGCCTCCTGAGTAGCTGGAATTACAGGTGTGCACCACCATACCCATCTAATTTTTGTATTTTTAGTAGAGACAGGGTTTCACTGTCTTGGTCAGGCTGGTCTCAAACTTCCAACCTCAGATGATCTACTCGCCTCGGCCTCCCGAAGTGCCAGGATGACAGGCGTGAGCCACTGCGCTCGGCCACCAGGTATTCATTGAGTCTTCTGCAAGGTCTTGGTGTCTCTCTGGGCCCAAGCCTGCTGTCTTTTGCAGCTTGGGGCACAAGGTTTCTAGAGTCCACTGTCCTCGCATTTCCCTTGGCATATAAATAAATTCACAGGGTGATTGCCAGAATTCAAATAAACAACGCTGCTTTCAGCCTGAACTATTTGTTTTAAAGTGACCTCAGACAACCTTTCCTCCCCATTTTAGGTACACAGACCTTTTAGCACATGACCCCAAGGATTGCATCTTATGATATTTATACTCCTTATCCATAGGTCTTGAACTAGAACCTCATAAGCAGCCAAGAAGGGTGCGTCAGTAACAGTGATTCATGTTATTGTGCTGATGGACCTCAGTAGTGCCAGATGACTTTTATGGCGTGAGCATCAGCCAATGGAATGGACACTAGCCCATCAGGGCAAGTGCCTGTAAACAAACTGCACTGGTTTGCACTGGCAGGGCGCCACCGTGCAGACAGCCACATCACTACCTCTCCAGCAAACATCAGGAATATGTGCTGTCTAATAGGGTTTCCCCTAAGAGCAAAATCTGAGAGAAGGGTGTGGGTCCAGGTAGTTTATTTGGGAGGTGATGCCAGGAAGCAGGAGTAGGGAATAGGGAGAATGAAACCAAAAAGGGGGAAAAGCCAAAACGAGGTGTTTGAATGAGGTGTGTGAATCCTGCTGGGACCTTCGAAGGAACCATGAAGAAAGCACACCGAGAAGTGCTCCACTTGGGCTGGGCACAGTGGCTCACACCTGTAATCCCAGTACTTTGGGAGGCCGAGGCGGGCAGATCATTTGAGGTCAGGAGTTCAAGACCAGTGTGGCCAATATGGTGAAATCCCATCTCTACTAAAAATACACAAAGTAACTGGTATGGTGACATATTCTTGTAGTCCCAGCTATTCGGGAGGCTGAGGCAGGAGAACCGCTAGAACCTGGGAGGTGGAGGTTGCAGTGAGCTGAGATCATGCCACTGCACTCCAGCCTGGGCAACAGAGGGAGAGAAGGAGAAGGAGAAGGACAAGGAGAAGGAGAAGAAGAAGAGGAGGAGGAGGAGGAAGAGGAGAAAAAGGAGGAAGAGGAGGAAGAACTCCACCAGCAGATGGAGGCTGCAGTATCTAAGCACTGACCCCCTTCCACATGGGGTGAGGGTAGCTTCCAGGTTATTAATTCCCTGATACTTTCAGGGTGCACCTGAATTTGGCTTCTACTGTCTTAGAGAAAGCAGAGAGGTGTTTCCATATATGCTTGAGAAATAATACTGGCAAAATACACAGAACTGTCTATCAAAGGTGCACTGAAATCAGGTGAGTTGCAGAGATGTGACACAGGACCTCACAAACGCCTGCTACAAATGCTTAATAAAAGTATAAATGAAGTGCAGCAAGAGGGGTGCACAGGCCCCCTTAAATCTTTGTGGTAGAAGACAGACGCTTATTGCCTGTGCAACATCCCTTCCTTTGGGGAACCACTTTTTTCTCCACTTCAATGTGATTGTGTTGATTCTATATAGTATGCAGATTAACAGCCTCCAAAGATATTCACATCACAACCCCTGGAACTTGTAACTGTGTTAGATTACATGAAAAAGGGGAATTAAG